CCCCGCGCGCGGCCTCACCCCGCAGCCGCCGCTCGGCCTCCTCCTGGGTCTCCAGCAGCCGCTCCACCACCTGCTCGTGACGCCCCAGGAGCCGCCTCTGCTGCGCCTCGGCGCGGTTGACACCCAGCAAGCTCAGCAGACCCTGGCTCACCTCCTCAATGTCGCGGAAGGCCGCCATGACGGCGCCCCACAGAACCCGCGCAAATTTGACCGCTCGCAGGCCACGCCCCCTTCACGGAACATTCCTATTGGTTGTATTGTACGCCAGTCGTTAGCATTGACCAATAAACGCGGGGCGAAGGGCGTCCTCTCATCATGGAGGCGGTCTCAGGTGTGACGTAGTGCGCAGGGGCCCCGTTCTCTGTCAGTCATCAGAGGATGACCAATCGGGAAGGATCATCTCCTGGGTCGGGGCGGGACTGCTCCTGAGGCCTGGCTAGTGCGCCTGCGCGGGCCTCTAGCGCTTGAAACTGTTTTCTTTTTAGGTTTGGTGGTTGCTACTTGTGAGCGTGTACTTGTACTGCAGTAGCATGGTACTGCTCTTTCCCCCCACCCCAGCTGAAGCTCCACAATGTGTGTCTGAGACACTCGAACAGGTACAATTAACAAATTGGTTTTTGCAAATTGAAGGACTGCTGCCGGATTTTCTGAGTTCGAATCCCGGCGTTGCCACTTCCTAGCTGTGCTACCTGGAGCTGGTTACTGAGCCTTCTGTGCCTTTCTTTCCTCCTCCGTTGCAGTCAGGGATGGCGCCTTCGTATTCAGTTCGGTGCTAACCCTTGTGTTAAATAGAAAACAAAGGAAATCCAAGCGTGTAGAACTCACCAAAGGCCACAGGAGGACCGGACCGCGGAGAAAAGGATGGGACTCCAACCAAATTGCACAGGAAGAAATCAGTTGGAGGGATGGTGCTTAGTATTTTCCTCGAAAATGGGGGGGGGGCGGGGGGAAATCAGTGCCTGGGTACAGAAAGTTCAACATTGTTTTAGGAAACTGGCTATTGATATATAGGGTGTGGCAGATTACATTTTTTAAAAATAGTTACAGAAATAGTTTCTACACCCTCTCCTAATTCCCTTCACAGGACAGAGCATGAGGCGGAAAGTGCTGGGTGACTTTTAATATTTTCATTGTTATTATAAAGGTGATGTACAAAGGGATTACAGTGACATAAGTCAGATAAAGAGTACATTTCTTTTTGGACAATGTATCTCTAAACATGAACATGTCATAAGCAGCCTGGACCACAAGAAGTTTTTACCAGTAGGATTTTGAGTCTAAATCAGCATCCTGGGGCCCCGCCCTATCCCCCGCCTCCACCCGAGGGTAAGCCTCATTGGCTCCCTTCACTGTTAGTTATCGGCAATGACCAATAGGCACAGGAGAAGTATCAGGAGCAGGGAATGTGGCTTAGTGACCTGTCATCCTAACTACTCAGGAGGCTGAGATATGAGAATCGCAGTTCAAGCCAGCCAGGGTAGGAAAGTCCATGAGATTCATCTCCAGTAAACTGAGAAAAAGCCAGAAGTGATGCCGTGGCTCAAGTGGTAGAGTGCTTAGTTTTAAACAAAAGAAGCTCTGAGACACCACCCAGGCCCAGAGTTCAAGTCGCAGGACCATAATCTGACTTGTGGGACTGAAACTGTTTGTACAACTATTTAAAACTTACTTTGTGTGTGTGTGTGTGTCTGTGTTAGTGTTCAGGACCTAGGCACTGTCCTTTGGCTATTTCCCTAAAGTCTACTGCTCTGCCACTTGAGCCACAGCTCTACTTCGAGCTTTTTGCTGGTTAATTGGAGCTAAGAGTCTCACAGGACTTTCCTGCCTGAGCTAGCTTTGAACTTTGATCCTCAGATCTCAGCCTCCTGGGATTATAGGCATGCAAAACAAGACCCTGGCTTCTACCTCAGCATTTGGGAGGGGGAGGGGGAAGGCCTTGGGTTTGGTTTCTGGCTGGGCAGTTTGCCCATGACCTTGGCTGGTTCCTAACCTTTTCCAAGCCTTGGAGCTAAAGATAGCCTTATCAGTTGGGGGGTGCGGGAGTGTTCAGGAGATAAGCCATTGCAAATTGAGCAACCAGAGCTTGACAAATATATAGATGAGCCCATCCAAAAGGCCACCCACCTTCTCGTTTCCAAAAGCTCCACCTCCCAGTCCTTAGAATGGCTACTGTCCCCCAAACAAAGAAACCAAAGCACCCCCTCCCCCAAAAGTCCCCAATAATGTGCTAATGGGGGGTGTGTGTGGAGAAATGGAAGTCCTTGTGTTCTGTGGAAGGGGTTGGAAAACTGGGCTGTGGCTTTAGAAAACAGTATCAAGAGACCTTTAAAAGAAGCTGGTAGGGCTGGGATGTAGCTCAGTGGCAAAGCACTTGCCTAACAAGTGCAACGTCCTGGGTTCGATCCCCAGTACCAAAAAAGAAAAGACAAAAAAAAAATACAGTTAAAAGAAGCTGGAAGTAGAAGCCGAGCCCTTCCGGCTCCCAGCTTGGGAGAAGTTGAGGCAGAAGGATTTTTCAATGTGTGGGCAGCCTAGGCTACATACATCCTCAAAACAGATTTTAAACAAAGAGCTGGGCACTGGTGGCTCACACTTGTAATCCCAGCTACTGGAGGAGGCTGAGATGAAGTTCCCCAGAACCTCTCATCCCAATTAATCACAGAAAAAGCTGGAAGAAGCACTGTGCCTCAACTGGTAAAGCCTCAGGAGATCAGGTCCCTGGCCTGGCAAAAAAAAAAAGGGGGGGGGGAGAAAGAAAGGAAAGAGGGAGGGAGGGGCAGAGGAAAGAACTAGAACAAGATAAAATGGGGTTGGCAATTGCTCTCTGAGAAAAAAAATGAGAAACCATTTTTTTTTCATTATTATTTCCTAAAGGCTTTTCTTGGCTCGGAAACTCCTGAGAAACTTGATACAGGCCAAGAACCGCTGGCTTAGGAATAAATACCCTCAGAGCTGGGAAGGTGTCACAGTGGTAGAGTGCTTGCCTAGCATGCATGAAGCCCTGGGTTTGATTCCTCAGTACCACATGCACAGAAAAAGCCGGAAGTGGTGCTGTGGCCCAAGTGGTAGAGCGCTAGCCTTGAGCAGAAGAAGCTCAGGGACAGCGCCTAGGACCTGAATTCAAGTCCCAGAACTGGAAGAACGAAACAAAAGAAGCTAAGATCTGAGGATAGTGGTTCAGAGCCAGCCTAAGCAGAAAAGCCTGAGACTCTTATCTCCAAGTAGCTAGCAAAAAAGGGCAGAAATGGGGCCGTGGCTCAAGTGGTAGAGTACCAGCTAAGCTCAGGGAATAGCACCCAAGTCTCTCTCACACTCACACTCACACACACACACGATATTTTGAGGATGGAACCTATGTTTAAACACAAGTCAGTTGTTTCATATATATATATACATAAACATACGTGTTGTTTCCTTCTGCCAGTACCAGGATTGGAAGGAGCTCGGGGCCTCACACTTGCTTTGTCTTGCTGGCTCTACCACTTGAGCCATGCCTCTAGCCTAGCTTTTTGCTGGCTAATGGGAGAAGTTCTCAACACTTTCCTGTCTGGGTTGGCTTTGAACCATGATCCCCTAGATTTCCTGTGTAGCTAGGATGACAGGCGTGAGCCACCAGCTCAAGGCTTCTACCATTTTACACACAACCCAAAAGTAGTGTCGTGTGTTGTTAGTATTTCTGAACGTAGACTTTGAGCCATTGCAAGAAGTCACACACGTGTGGGATTTTCCACTCGGTCCTCACACTGACATCCAAAAATAATTTTGGACTTTGGAGTTCCTTTGATGAAAAAGGCAGGAGATTTATCTTTTGGGGGCAGTACTGGGATTTTCTCCAAAGTAAGCAGCTCCAGTGATAGACCATCAGCTGAGCAAGCGCAAAGCCCCTGCGTTGAGTTCAAACCTCAATAAAGAGTTCATCACAGCCAGACAGTGGTTCAAAGTCAGTTCGGGCAGAAAAGTCCCCATGAGACTCATCTCCAACAATTAAAAAAAAAAAAAGTGTAGCTGGGCGCAGTGGCTCACACCTGTAATGCTAGCTACTCAGGAGGCTGAGAAGTGAGGATCACAATTTGAAATCAGCTGGGGCAGGGAAGTCTGTGAGACTCTTATCTCCACTGAACCACCAGAAAACCAGAAGTGGTGCTGTGGCTCAAGTGGTAGAGCGCTAGCTTTGAGCACAAAGAGGCTCAGGGACAGGAAAGAAAGAAAGAGAGAGAGAGGGAGGGAGGGAAGGAAGGAAGGAAGGAAGAGAGGAAGGGAGGAAGGGAAGAGAAGAAGGGAAGGATGGGAGGGAAGGAAGGGAAGGAAGGAAGGGAAGGAAGAAAGGAAGGAAGGAAGGAAGAAAGGAAGGAAGGGAGGAAGGAAGGGAGGAAGGGAGGAAGGAAGGGAGGAAGGAAGGAAGGAAAGGAAGAAAGATTCAGACTCTCCTGCCAGGCTGGCTTTGAGGCCCATCCTCAGATCTCAGCCTCCTGAGGAGCCACCAGTGCTTGCCTTATACTCTCTATGTGCAGCTAGCCACCACGAAGCTGGAAGTGGTTCTGTGGCTCTAGCCTGGAGGGACTGTGCCCAGGCCCTGAGTTCAAGCCCCAGGAGCAGCACAAGAAACAAAAACGAAACAAGCACTGGCATTATCCGTTACTTTATTCTTTATTCTTTTTAATTTCTACAAAAAGATTATAAAAAAAGGATACTTCATTTGCATATAATACTGTCATCATGGATGTACCGTAGTGAGAAGTGAAACGGGGTCACGCGTATACGTGGGGGTGGGGGTGGGGCCACAGGAAGCACAGGCAGGCGGGGACTCAGCCGGGAGCTGGGGTCACACCCACTAGGACCAAAAGCACATGGCTTTTCCAAAAAGTCCTAAAGCTACACCTTCCAACACACACCAGCAATCGTCCCCCATCCTCGTTGGTTTTCTACTTCACACACACATACACACACACACACACATGTAATCCACCCATCCGTCGGTCGTCCATCCATCTGTCCATCCATCGGCTCATCCAGCCAGACTCTCTCTTTGGGCCATCCAAGCTCCCAAGCTTACGCTTTTTTTTCTTTCTTAATCTTCACAACAGCATCTCACTTTAGCCCAGGCTAGCACTGAGCCCACAGCGTCAGTCCTCAGCCTCCAGAGCGCTGGGATTACAGGCGTGCTGCACAATGCCTGGCCCAGATAAGCCCTTTTGCCTTTTAATAAAAACCAGAGCAAGCCGGGCTGACTTCAAGCCAAGATGGCTCCTTTGGTGAGAAGGTGGCACTTGGCTGCTTTGCTTTACTTAGTGAAAGTGGGGTTCGGGGGTCAGCGTCCCTGACCTGTAAAGGAAGGCTGGGGTTTACAGGTCAGGAGGGCCAGCTGAGACCCAAACGTAGGGGGAGGGCTCACCCCCAGATCGCAAGTACACGGAGAACCCTTTTCCTTTTTCTGACACACCAAGTAAAGGAGCGGGAAAGATCACTGTAATCCCGGCGCTGGCGGCTCACACCTGTCAGCTTCGCTGCTCAGGAGGCTGCGATCTGAGGATCGTGGTTCAAAGCCAGCCGGGGCAGGAAAGTTTGTGAGACTCTGATCTCCAATAAAACTACCAGAAAACCAGAAGTGGCGCTGTGGCTCCAGTGGTAGAGCGCTCGCCTTGAGCTGAAGAGCTGAGGGACAGCGCCCAGGCCGAGTTCAAGCCCCACAACTGACCAAAGGAAAAAAAAGAGAGAAAATTGTACTGAAATTCTGGGGACCCCAAAAAAAGGAAGATGGTGAAAAAATTGGCCACGAAGGGAACTGTGGCCATGGCCGCCCGATTCCAGGAGGCTGCAAAGTGTCTAGTTGTTAAAAGATTAAAAGACAAAAACCACACATTAAACATGGAACACAACCCCCCCCCAGCAAAGTCAAGCACTAACGGGGCGCGTGGAACCCGGGGTCCCCTCCACCCCGCGTGGGGCTCTGCAGGCAGGGCCGCTCTGAGAACGGGATCCTCTCCTTGTGCGTCCTGGGGGTTTTCTAGAACTATCTAGCAAGGCCTCCGTGGTGGTGGTGGTGGGGGGAAGGGTTAGCACCTGCGGGTCATGGGGCGGCCTTGGCTGTTGCGTCCTGAGCCCCCCCAGCTCCATCGGGGGCCCGGGTCCCCCAGAACTATGTCCCTCAAGATAACCAACCGGGGGGGGCAGGGGGGGCCGCAAAGCCACTTGGGACAGGGCTGCTGAAGGCTAAGATTTGGGGTGTGGAAGCAAGCCTGTGACTCCAGCCCCTCCTGCTCCCCCCACCCGTTCTCCCCGCCACCCCCTCCGACCACGGTTGCTGATCTCCCCCCACCCCCCAGCGCCGGCCAGGAGGGGGTTTCGGCTTCCGTTTGTACTGCGGTGCCTTTGAATGGGGGGGGGAGCGCTGGGGGAACCCCACGTCGGTCTGGAGTCCTGTAGATGTTGGGGCTCCCCCACCAGGGGTGAAGACGCCGGTTGGTCTTTCAGATCTGGGTCTTGGGGAGTGGGAGGCGGGGGTGGGGGGGAGGAGAGGGGGTGGGGCAGGGCTTTCCCTGGTGGTCACTCCTCAGCCGAGGACGAAGCTGGACTGTCATCGTCTGACATTGGGGCAAACTGTAACGGAGAGAAGAAAGCAGAGAGCGAGGGTCGGGGCGGGCTGGCTGGACATGGCCGGGGGCTGTGAGGCCCTGTGGAGAGTGGGGTGGCAGATGCAAAGGCCCTGGGGTAGGAGCAGGGAGGCCGCAGTCAGTGCGACTGGAAGGAAGGGAGCCAGGCCTGGAACCGCCCCTCCTGAGTAGCTGGGGTTACAGGTGTGAACCCCCACACCTGGCTGCTAGGAATTCCCTCACCAGCTCTATTTTCCATGCACGATGTGAGTCTCAGGCCCGAACCCCACTGAAGCCAAGCCCCAGCGGCCTTTCCTGGCTGCACGGCTGGTGACGGGTGGGGTGCGCTTAGCCGTGCAGAGGCCCGGCGGGGCCTCGCCTTCTGCGGCCCCCCCACCCGCGGGCCCTCGCCCCAAGACTCACGGAGCACTTGATGTTCAAGCGGGAGTACAGCATGGACGCGATCTCGCTCTGCCCGGCGTCCAGAGCCACCATGAGCGCGGTGCTCCCGTCCTGCAAGGCCCCCAGGACATCAGCGCCCCCTGCGCCGGGGACACCGTGGGGGGCAGCGGGGCGCCCCAAGGGGACTCACGCGGTCTGTGAGCGCGATGTCGCAGCTGGGCACGGCCAGCAGCAGCCCCGTGATCTCCTTGAAGCCGTGCTCGCAGGCGCACATGAGGGCCGTGGAGCCGTCGTCGTCCTGGGCGTTGACGTCCGCGTCGCAGGCCAGCAGCGCCTTCACCACGTCCACGCGGCCGTGGCTGACCGCCAGCATCAGCGCCGTCTGCCCCGCCTGGCCACGGCAACCAATGGGAATGTGGCTTCGCCCTGGCCGGCCCCGCCCCTGCCCCCCCTGGCCCCGGCAACCAATGGGAATGTGGCTTCGCC